TCACTCACATTCCCAATTGTTAGGGAATTTTAGTCTCCCCACCTACTACAATATGCGCAATTCCAAAGTCAACCCACAATCAACAAGATAGAAAATAATCACAATCAAGAATAAAGAACACCGAGATTTATGTGGTTCGGTCGACCAATTTCGATCTACATCCATGGGGCAACAATACGAGAAATTCACTATGTATTAGGAAGAACTACAAGAGGAACCATTCGACTCTTGTCTCACAATCTTTTGAATGGATAAAGACTGTAAAACCCTCTCCCAATATTGTAATCTTTTGCATGGACAAAAACTACAAAACCCTCGCCTTTTTCACAATATTCTTGAATCAGACTACGCTCTCTGCTAACCCTAGATTACAAGAATATTAGCTCTCTCATCTGCTTGGATTTTCCTCCAACAATAAAAATATATATATATTGGGAAACCAAAACTCTATCTCTAATCTAACTTTCTAATTAGAATAAGATTCAAACTCTTAATTATGATGAGACTCAATCTCCTAATCATGATAAATCTCTAATCCTATCTAATTCTCATGAAGTTATACAAAGAATCAAAGACATAATCCCGTACTTAATCCTCAATATGCTCCAGATTTTAGACCTATATCTTGCTGCAACTGTGTGTATAAAATCATAACCAAAATCATTGCATCCAGAATTCAAAAAGTGATCGGATACCTGATAAGTGATGCACAGAGTGCTTTTGTAAAGGGTAGGCTTATATCAAGTAATATCCTCTTAGCTCATGAAATTGTTAAGCATTATGGCAGGAAAAACACTTCCCCTAGAGCTATTTTAAACATTGATTTGAGGAAGGCTTTCGACATAATTAGTTGGGAGTTCATCAGTGACTTGCTGAAAGGTTTAAGATTCCCTAATAACATGATTTCCTGGATTATGGAGTGCATCTCAACCCCAAAATTCTCCATATCTATTAATAGCACTCCTCATGGATATTTTCAAGGGGCTAGGGGTCTGAGGCAGGGTGATCCTTTATCACCATATTTGTTTGTTATTGGAATGGAATATTTGTCTAGGAAATTAAATACTCTCAAGGAGGACAGGCTTTACAAATTCCATCCTAAGTGCTCAAGGTTGAAAATAACACATCTAGCTTTTGCGGATGATCTACTTCTTTTTGGCAGAGATGATATGTATACAATATCAAGACTAAGTGACTGTCTAACAGAATT